GTGTGCATTTCTGTAGATATGTAATATTCTCTTACATATAGTGCAACTCTCCCTCCTCTTTTTGTAGTTCTGTTTCTGTTGAACAATTTGTATCTATCCATCAGTCCATTCCAGTCATGGGTTTCATCCCACCAGGTTTGTGTAATGTCAACTTTGTCATACCCACCCATGTGTACTTTTGCTTCTAGTTCACCCTGTTTGTTCCTCAAGCTTTGAGCATTAGTATATAAATGTTTAAGACTTTTATGTCTTTCTGTGGGTATGTTTCCTGGATCTTCTGATTGTTGTTTGATTTTTTTCTTTTTTCTCATCACTGCCTACCTCTTTGTTTGATTTGTTTTCTTGGGCTTTATGATTGGTGTTGTGTTATAGAGATTCTAATGATTGATCACCCTTCCCCCTCAATGTTAGTTGAGCCTCCTAATGAGTTGAGCCAGTCTATTTCCGAGTACATTTTTCCCTGTTTTCGTGAGGTGCAGTCCCTCTCTTGCCAAGAGTCAATCACATAGGAAATGCAGTCCATGGTCCAGGAAACCAAAGTTTTCTTGGTGACACCAACCTTTTAGCCAGTGGTTTATTTCTAGAATTCTTTTTCCCCCTCAAAGGGTGTTGGCCTTTCGTTGGGAGTACTGATGAGAACTCTACTTGTGCTCCTAGCTCCTTAACTTTATTGCCTAGTTGCTTATAGTCTCTCAGTACTGTGCTCAGGTTCTTTGTTATGTCATTCATCCCAATGTGAAGGAGTAGGAGAGGGTAGTAATCTGTGGGCCTAATTATTTTGGTTAGGTTCTCAGCCACATCTTTGATTTTTGCTTCAGGGAGACAGCATAGCTCCCTGGATTGTATGTCCGGTCTGCAGATGGCTGATTCTGTTCCTTTGAGAATAGAATCTCCTATCACCAGCTCTCACCTTCTTTTTTGGGGGGGTGGTGGTGCAGTCTGAGGTGCTTTTCTGTTTGTCTCAGGTGTGTTTGTTGATGTGAATTTTTTTAGGGCTATTTGGTGTTGTTTCTTTGCTAGGTGTCTGCATGTTTTCTTTGAGGATAAGGCTGTGTTTTTGTGTATTTCCATCTAGGGGGAGAAATTGATTGCTCAGTTTCAATGGGTCTGCTTCTGGTTGGGTTGGATTGGGCAATAGGGGTTTATTAGATATATGCTGCTTCTTCCTTTGATTGTTGTGTTTCTTTCTATGTGTGACATACCTCCATTTGTCTTCCTCCAGGGGTTTATTGGTAGGGTCAAATCCTCTGGGAGTTATTTGTCCATTGTTTGGTTCAGTTTGGGTATAGCTTTCTTTTGTAGGTTGGAATTTGGCTAGCGTTGCCTCTAGATCCCTTACTTTTTCCTCTAGTAGTTCACATAGTTTACATTTAATGCATGTATATTTTGGGTGTTCTTTGGGCATAAGCACATACATGGAACATGCATTGCATACCACAATAGTATCCATATGCTTCTGCACTATTCTGTGGACAGACTCTCTTATTATTTAGTTATTTGTATCCCACCATTATTATTTTTACAAATAACTCAAAACAGTGAACACACCTTCCTCCTCCTGATGTGGTTTCCATCTTCAAAAAAGGGGAAACTACATAGCAATCCAGTAAACTACAGAGTAATCAGTCTGACATTGATACCTGGGAAGAACCCAGAAAAGATAATCAAGCAATAGATCTTTGAATACCTAGAAGCAAGCAAAGTTATAACCAGAAGCCAACATGTGTTTGTCAAAAACACCTCATGCCAAACAAATCTTACTTCATTCTTTGACAAAGTTACTAAATTAGTGGACCAGCAAAATGCAGTGGAAATAGTATACTTGAATTTCAGTAAGGCATGACAATGTAGACCACAACCTACTTCTTGATAAGCTAGAAAAATGTGAGATAAACATCATCGCTGTCAGATGGATTTGTGACTGGCTGACAAACTGTACTCAATGTGTAGTCCTTAATGGAGCTACATTCACTTGGAGAGAAGTAAGCAGTGGGGTACCCCAAGGTTTTGTTTTAGGCCCAATTCTCTTCATTATCTTCATAAATGATTTAGATGAAGAAATAGAAGGGAAACTCATCAAATTTAGAATTTGATGAGTTCTCCCATTTTTCGAATGTGGAATTTGCAACCTGGCATTAAGGAGAAACTTCCTAACAGTGAGGACAATTAACCAGTGGAACAGCTTGCTTTCAGAAGTTGTAGTGCTTCATCACTGGAGGTTTTTAAGAAAAGATTGGACAGCCACCTATCTGAAATGGTATAGTGTCTCCTTCTTGAGCAGGGGGTTGGACTAGAAGACCTCCAAAGTTCCTTCAAGCTCTGTTCTGATTCTGAAAATTTGCACATGATACCAAAATGTCAGGAATAGACAACTCTCCAGAAGATAGGCTCAAAATCCAGATGGATGTCCACAGACTTGAACACTAGGCCCTATCTAACAAAAATGAAATTTGATGTAGAGAAAAGCAACGTTTTACACTTAGGCAAGAAAAAACAAATGTACAGGTACAGATTAAGTGAAAATTGGCTCAATAGCAGTAACTGCAACTGAGATCTTGGTCCTAGTACAGAGTCCCCCAACTTTTGGGCACCAGGGACTGGTTCCGTCGAGAAAGATTTTTCTGGGGACCGGAGAACACGTGGTTTTGTGTGCTGCCTGCATCCCATGGATGAGGCTTTGTTTGTGTGGCCCAGTTGCTGGCATGCCATGGCCCGGTACCAGTCCATGGACCGGGGGTTGGGGACCTCTGTCCTAGTAGACAATCACTTACATATGAACCAGCAGTGTGCTGCAGCCTTCAAAACAACCAATGCAATACTAGGCTCCATTAACAGATGGATAGAATCAAGTGTGTTAGTTAGTTAGTGTTAAGTACCACTTTATAAGGTCTTTGTAAGTCTACACTTGGAATAGTGCATCCAGTTTTGATCAACATGTTATAAAAAAGACATTGAGATTCTGGAAAGAGAGCAGAGAAGAGCAACACATATGATTAGGGGGTTGGAGATTAAAACATATGAAGAATGCTTAGTTTAGTATAATGAAAATAAGGACTAGCAGTGTTCCAATATTTGAGGGGCTACCACAAAGAAGAAGGGGTCAACTTATTTCCCAAAGCACCAGAAGGCAAGACAAGAAGCAATGGATGGAAACTAACCAAGGAGAGAAGCAACCTACAATTAAAGAGAAATTTCCTGACAGTGAGAACAATCAACCAGTAGAATAGCTTGGCTGGGTACTTCATCACTGGAGGCTTTCAAGAAGAGACTGGATACTCACCTGCCTACAATGGTATAGGGTCTCCCGCTTAAGCAGGGGGTTGGACAATGGTCCATTGGAGGAGCCTTGCCATCCCTCTTGGGCTGCATAGGGGACTCTGGACGATGGTGCAGGCTGCCCGGAGCCCTGGGCAGTGGAGGACAAGCACCCAGCCCTCAAGCTCCTGGGGCACCACGACCCCAGAGCCCAATCCAGTCCAGCCCCACTTCCCCGAGGGGGCACCCAGCTATGCTTACCTCCTCCTCAAAACTGCTGCTGCTATGCTCACTCTCCTTGGCCAGGTTGCTCATGGTGGGTGCAGGAGGGCAAAGTGCATGGGTCAGAGGGAGGCCCACTCCCTCTCCATGCGAGGAGACCCAACTTTGTAACCAAAGCATCCTTAGTGATAGGATGGGAGATCATCAGGGTAGGCCAGGAGGAGGGGGCAAGGGGATGGCAAAAGGGCAGCAGGGCTGCTGGTGGCCAAGTGCTAAGGCAGGACTTCCCTCAGACCCTCTCTTCCTCTCATTCCAATCTCCTTCCTTCCTTCCTTCCTTCCTTCCTTCCTTCCTTCCTTCCTTCCTTCCTTCCTTCCTTCCTTCCTTCCTTCCTTCCTTCCTTCCTTCCTCACCTCACCTCACTTCACTTCACTTCACTTCACTTCCTGTTTCCCTCTCTCCCTCCCTCCTTTCCTGCCTCCCTCCTTCTCATTCCCATCTCCTTCCTTCCTCCCTCCCTCCCTCCATGCCCAGGAAGGGACAAGGGGAAGGGGAGAGGTTGCCAGCGTGGCTGGTGGCTGTGCTGCCAGTGGTCATGGCTTGAAAGGCCACTGTAAATTCCTGGACAAGAACTACACAGCCTTAAGAGGAGAGTGGTGGGAAGATTTTTGTGATGAGGGAGGGAGAAAAACAGGCAAGAAATGCAGCTAGGGAAGGGTCACCCTCTGTGAGGAATGAGGAAAGGCACCATCCCCTGGGGCCAGGCGAGGTGAAGCTGGGGAGAAGCCGAACCTGCCTAGGCACGTGCACAGGAGGTGGCGAGTGCGCAAGGCTTGGCATCCTGGGTGAAAGAGAAGAGCTCAGAATGCAGTCAGCCTGTGGGGCAGGATAGTCAACTGGGATGCCAGGCCCCACACGCTCACCACCTCCTGTATGCATGCCCAGATAGGTTCGGCTTCTCCCCAGCTTTGCCTCGCCCAGCCCAGCCTCTCCATGCTGTGAGGAGAGCATGCCACTGACTGCCAAAACTGGGCAGGCTGGGGGCTGAGTGGCATTGTGCAGGTAACATGGATTCTCCAGTTGTTTGCAGCATCCCCTCCCCCGGAGCCCACAGAGCCAGGTGTGTGAACTGGGCAAATGCCAATTGCTGGCTACCTCTAGCCGATGATGCCTTTCTTCATTCCTTGTGGAGCGTGACACCTCCCCAGCTGCATTTCTTCCCTGTTTTTCACTGCCACCTGTGTACACGTCTGGCATGGATGGCTACCACAAAGTTGTAGATTGGCTCTCGGCCAGCCTGTTTTATCTCCTCTCCTCTCTCCCCCCTTGTCCTTCTTCTTTCTCTTTGGTGCAGCTCCGGCTGACTCCTCTTTCCAAGGCTGCGTCTTTTTTTCTTCCTCTCCTTTTATAGCCTCTCCTGTTTCTACCCCCCTCCTCCTCCTTTCTCTTCTGCGTGAGCCAGAAATGCCGATCCTGGGGCCTTTGTCTTGCCCCAGCAGCCCTGCAGCTCCTGAGGACTCTCTCATGGCAAGTCCTGTGCTGCGCCACTTCGGCTTTTTCCTCCCCCGCTATCCTTGGCTAGGCTGGGAAGGGTCATGTACCATCTGCCAAGTGCCAATGAAAACCCTGTACTAGTCCAAACTGGTTCATGGTAGGTATTCAAATGTAATATAAAGCAATGTAATATAGAATTACTGGTTTGTATGTTTAACAGCCTAAGAATCCTTGGGCTTTTGTCTGAATTTATGAAGCTATACGCTTTGACCAAACTACTACCTATATCCCGTATGCATTCTTACTTTGTCTCTTAGGTTTGAGTACTGTCTTGTACATTTGAATGCAAGTAAAACTGTCCTAATGGTCTTGAAGTTCACAATCAGGATTCACAATTCAAATATGGTTTTGCCTCAATTCAGATGAATGTGAGTACTAATCAATTTCAAATTTTGCTATATTTGTAATTGAAGGGCACGCACAGAAGAAGTATAACTGGGTTCGATATTTTCCCTATCGTACAGCTACTGAATGAGAGCTGATAGAGTTCGAGTATTATCGCTGTCTGGTGGATTTCTGAATAGGTGTTCTTTTTTCATACTCGTGGCAATAACTTAACAGATGTCTGCTGTTGAAGCCTGTTCTTCACCAGCAGATCATACACTAAATAATTAACCTGTCAGCCATCTTTAGGAATTCAAACAGGAAAAATAAATAAAACCTCAGTTTATTTTCCAGCAATCCTGTTCTGACAGGAGGGAAATTAGGGGAAATTGTCCAGATGGATAGTTAGTGTAAAACCTTTGAAGGAAGAATGAAATTCATAGTAGTATCTAAACATATTTTTTATTAGATGCTTTCACCACTAGAGGGTAGAAAGAAAATCTGGGTGTAGGTCTGATAACGGAGATGTATATTGTTGTATATGAACAATATATAATTGTTGATATACAACTACTGCTTTGATCAAATCATACAAATTAAGCAAAAATAAGCACATGTCTCATGTAATTAATCTATTAACTTCTTGAACGTTTTTTTAAATTCTCACAAGAACCATAGTCTTAGAACTCTCACTTTTTAATTTTTTTTTATTTTTTAAAACAACAAAACATAACACACATACACACACAATGTATACTCCTCCTTTTTTTTTTAACAGCAATTTCGTAACGGTAATCTTCTATTATTTACATTTTCTCCCCTTATTCTTCTTTAAATATATTTGTCCTTGTTGTCTTGTTTTTTGTTTGCATTTTTCTTCCTTCATACTATACTTCATACTAAAAATAATACATATTATTATTACTATACATTATTATACACATATTTTCCATTTTTGACCTTTCCACATTTATTTTTGCTGGCTTCCATTCTGTTGTTATTATTTTCAACCAAATGGAATATTTTCCCACCCCGAAAGGCAACACAAATCCCCACTAAGTTATCAACTCAGTTATATATAATATCTTCCCAACATCCTGTTAGCAGTTACTGTGACTATTGGACTAATAAATGTGGAGCTTTTGGCTTGCTCTGAGCTTGGTTGTTTTCTTGCATTACCCAAACTAATTCACATCATCAGTGCGACAAATATTTTCCTTTATTGAAATAAATGTATTTAGTAAAAAAGGGTCCCAGATAGCCAGGGCTTTTTTTGTCATAGAACACCCAGAACAGAGTTCCAGCACCTTTTTTGGATGAAACCTTGTAGGGTAGGCAAGGTGGATTGTATGACGTGTGAGTTCCGTCACCTTTTTTTTTTTACAAAAAAAGCACTGGATAATACTATCATAAAATCTGCATCAACAAGTGCACCAATAAATGCAATATTAACCCTGGATTAATAGGTATTTGTATAACTGTTATCTTTCCCTGTGGGCTCTTATGTCTTCAGGTTTGGTTAGAGATTTTCACCAATCATTCTTTTTCCCCATGCTCCACAGTTCCAGATAGATAAATAAGTTCCTCCCAAAGAAGAGCTACACTCCAGTCTACCTCTTTATTCATATACCTCAGGGTGGGGGACTATGATCCCTTATGACCATGCTGGCTCAGGAATTCTGGGAGTTGAAGTCATAAAGGGGCCATAGTCCCCACCCCTGATATACCTGAATGAAAAGTTCTTGAAATTTTTAGTGTACAGCCTACCAGTTTTGACCATGGTAATAATAAAAATTAGATGTACTTTATCTGAGCTACAAAGATCCAGATGATCACTAGATGATTAAGCTGTCAATAGCTCTGCCTCTATTAAGTGATTGTCTGTATTTTTGCAGACCAGCCATAATAAACTAATTGGAATGAAGTCTCTCCTATAATTGTCAATTTGAAAAAAAAAACCCTATTTTAGTCACAATGGAAAGGGGGTTTTGGACAAATCATTTATTGGGTTAAAAATCCTCCTTGGCTCTTTCTGTAAAGCTAATTTTATACTATATCACATAAGTAGATAGTACAAGCATAAGGAGAGGCCAGCCTGAGGCAAATACAATTCATAATTGATTAAGATATATTACGCTACGTGATGTACACACCCTTTTACAGAGAGGCATGCAAAAACTGCTTCCACCCACATTCTTTGAAGGAAAAATAACGTGAGCTTTCATATTTCAAAGTCATGAACTGATAATCATAGATCAAAGGACACAATTGTGTGTGCTCAAGAGTATCAAAGCCCTTCAGTGCAGTCATGATGCAAAGTAGGCTGGCCACTTTGGGTTCCTGAAAACATTACATTTGGTACGAAGGCAGTTCTGGTGGCCAGGCATGAAAAAAGACATTGAGAGTTATGTGAAAAGCTGTGCTACCTGCGCTGCTATGAAGAAATGTCCTGGAAAGTCTCCAGGGCTCCTGCAGAGGTAGCTGACCCTTCCCAGCCTTGGGAAGAAATAGCTATGGATTTTATAGTGGACCTACTTGAGAGCAAGGGAAATACTGTAATATAGACTGTGATTGATCTGTTTTCCAAACAAGCTCATTTCATCGCTTGTTCAGGGCTTCCCTCTGCTCAGAAACCGACCAAGAAGTTTTTGAAGCACATCTATCAGCTCCACGGAGCTCCTAAATCAGGGGTGTCAAACTCAATTTCATTCTTCTTGGGAAGAATTGCAGCAATAAAAATGAATGTTCTCCCCAAGTTTCTTTTTTTGTTTCAAATGATACCTATCTTAAAAAAGGATTTAAATTTGGATGAATGGCAAAGAGGTATCAATAGGTTCATATGGCAGGGGGAAAAACCTAGGGTAAAATTTAAAATTCTGCAAGATGCACGGGAGAGAGGGGGACTTAAAGCCCCTAATTTAAAATTATACTATGAAGCAGTGGTACTAACTTGGATTAGTGATTGGATTAATTTAACTAATAGAGATATTTTGAAACTTGAGGGTTGGGATTTATATTATGGATGGCATGCTTACTTATTTTTTGATAAGAAAATTGATCGGGCTTTCAAATCTCATATTTTAAGGATTGCATTGCTGAGAGTTTGGAAAAAGTGTTCATATAAGCTAAACTTTAAAATCCCAATGTGGGCGATTCCGGAACATGCAATACAAGGAATAGCAAGGGGAGTAAAATTACAAGGTATTGCTTATAAAAAGTTACTTAGGCTAAGAGGACAGGACTGGCAAATTAAATCATTGGAAGAGTTAAAACAGGATAAGGTTCTCCAGTCCTGGTTGCTACATCTTCAACTTGTTGAGAGATGGCATATAGATCAAAAATTGGGTTTAATGTTGGAAGATGTGAACTTGATAAAACAGATTAAAGATCAAAGTAGAGCCCATATTAGGAGAATATATAGTGTTTTGATAGAATTTGATTCGGAGACGGAATTGGTTAAAGACTGTATGATTAAATGGGCTCAAAATATCCAAGAACCAATTAAATTGGAAACTTGGGAGAAAATTTGGGTAAGAAATGTCAAGTTCACTCAGGCACAGAATTTAAGGGAAAACTTTTATAAAATGTTTTATAGATGGCATTTGGACCCTCAAAAATTGTCTTGCATGTATCCGAACTTGCAACCAAAATGTTGGAGATGTGGTAGTATGGATGCTACTTATTATCATATTTGGTGGACATGCAGGGATGTTAAAGCTTTTTGGATTAAGATTTGGTGGAATATTCAACAGATTTTTAAGAAAAAGATAAAAT